TATTAATTGGAAAGAAAAATTGCTAAACGGCATTTTTGTCCACTTTGGCGCCTCATAGCCCCTTGGTTAGCTCAATTGGTAGAGCGCCGGACTGTTGTGCGGGAGGTCGAGGGTTCAAGCCCCGGCTGAACCAACACTCATGGTCTTAAAATAACTGAGGAGAATTTGCTACCTTTCTATAATATCAAGAAATGGATAGATATTTTAATCTTTTCGGATAAGGACAAATCAACCGTAGGCCCCGTCTCCTGCAGGGTTAGGGGTAGGAGACGTTAATTTCCCATGCACGAAATAACTGTGTGGTGGATGTCCTCCCCTGGGGTGGATGGGTGGGTTTACTGGGCCCGCAGTAATTGGCGCAAGCTGTTGCGGTGTCCCTGCCTGTCGGCGAATTTAATAAATTAAATTAAATTAATTAAACTCGTTGAACATTTTTACCATCTGCGTTAAAGAACTCGATGCATTTAATACGGAGCCCCGTTAGTGCCATTAAAGTACGCGAACACTTTCTTACCTTTGGCAGTTTCTTACCATTGACGCGACTTTTTTTCTCTGGCGCGACTGTTTTTTTCTCTCTCACTGGCTCCTAGTTTTATCGCGGGCTAAAAGTGCGAACACATGTACTTGAGCAAGATGGCTGACTCAGCTTACTCTGTTAACAACGATCTGGAGAAGGCAAGTACTAACCATCTTATTTAGTGCTAAATACTGCTGTATTCGTATAAATATTCGTATAAATAGAGAAATGAGCTATTATAAATAGGCAGGAAAAAACCGCTATTCAAGAACGAGGGCTGACGAGGCACACAAGATCGTACTGTTCTTATTTAATTCAGCAAATCCAAGTTGAGGATGAATATTTTTCAAGAACCTACTTCATAGTTACAAAATTTTATAATACGCTTTAATACATAGTCAAGCAGAGATCACTGAAAGTCTGAAAGATGTCCACTAAAACTAGTAAGACAGTACTTTAATTGTTTTGAACTTACTGTTGTCGATGCATTTACAGGTTTGTAATTTTCTACGACAAAGAGGTGTTGAAGAAAGTGCAGTTCAGAAGTTTCAGGAGGAAAAGGTTAGCCTTTGGTTGTTTTATACCTAGCATCCCTCCAGCTACTGAAATAATTCCTACAATGTTGTCATATTTGGTCAAAACCACGTGCTAGTCAATTAACTTACTACCTTGAGGTTTTCTAACATCAGCAACAACGTAAGCTTATTTTATCTTTTTTTGCCAGAAAACCACTGCTTTCACAATTTCCAATTATTTCTTTTCTTCTACTATTTCTTTCAAAGTCATACACTTATCAGCTGAAATCCTACCTCCCCTACTCTGTTGCAAGGTGGGATTTCACTTGACATCCTTGTAAATATCAACATGGTAAATAAATTATACTCAGTGAACTGGTCATGTTTCTTACAAAACCTGCAGGAACTTGAAAATTAGTATATACGCATTGGAAAAAAAGCATCAATATAGAAATTAAATTTGACTTCTTTTTCAGATGGATATTTCAGCAGTGTTCAATGCAAAAGATGAGGTCCTTAAAGACATGGGGCTCTTAACAGCTGGGGACAGATTAAGCCTTCGTGGCTTTGTAGCAGCAGGAGACGCAGCAGAAAAAAGAAAAGGAACATAAAAGACGAAGACTGCTTGAGGCATTCGTCGCGTCCAAAAAAGATAGGTCCACAAAGCTTGCGACATCTTCAGGAAACCAACAACAAAAGAATAAGCTTGAAAAGGAAAAACAGAAGTCTAAATGAGTACAAGTTGGATGGAAACATTTCCGCGAGGAGGGCGAGGAATATGTTCCTGTACCACTGGCAAAGGGAGGAGGCAGTGGGTATTTAACCATCCCATTATCAAGCAACAGCGTAGATGTTATGAGACTTTGCAAAACAGTCTTTTTCCCTAATAGTGAATCACATTATGGGAAAGAAGAAGACATGTTATTTGCACTTGGAAATTTCCCCAATGAGCAAATGAGTGTTACTCTGAAAGTGAATGGGAAAGACGTCCCTTTCACTAATGGAAATTACAGGGAGGCTTTTAAACTGGAAGATGTCAGACTTTAATTGCTGTCCAGGAGGATGACAAGTAGCAGCGATAAAAGTGATGATAGTTTACAACCAATGTTAACGAGTGATGACTCCCCTACCTTCTAATGGACATATGCAGCTGATATTTCTACTGAAAACAGGCAAGATGACAGTACAGGCCTGATTAGAACAACAGAACAAAGGGAATAACTTCGAAGAGAGCTAGATATTGAGTATGAACTTTCACTAAAAGCAGACAGGGAAAAAAGAATTGCCTTTGAAATGGCAAATGCTGAGGCTCAGCAGAAGAAGAGAGTTCAGGAGGCAAGAGCAGCAAGAGTTTTAAAAGAATCCGAAACAAATTTTGTCACTATAAAATTCCGACACCCTTCAATGGGTGTCTACTCTCGTCGGTTCCCATCGTAGAGTAAAGTGGCTTCAGTTTATGGCTGGCTCGTTGAGTCTGGACATCACAGACTTTACACTCTGTGACCCATTAGGGAAACCTCTTTCACATAGTGCACAGTTAGAGGATAGATGTACCATAACGATGGCCACTGACGTGTAAGTTTCTCAGTGTTCCACCTCAGTGCTGTAAATGAAATAACAGGCACTTACGAGTAAGAAATTGTCAAATTGAAATTGCTAAAATTTGGACTAATTTTTTAATGTGCTCGGGCGTGCTGGCTGGGGCCTACAGGAACTAACTGTTAATCTTTAACTAATAAAATGTTGTCTCAACAATTTTGGGAAAAGAGTCATTTTAGAAAAACTTATTTACAGCACTCAACTTACTTGTACATGCTGTAGAATCGTATTAGGGGCTATGGGGGTAGGTGTTTAGCATGGCTTAACCTATCAGGCAAAAGTGCGAGAATTTGGTGTGAGTTTTGGTATGTACTTTCACTGCTCCTTGGACAAGAGAATATAGCTTGGAAATTGATTTTTTTAATTCAAATGTTACAAAATTCCGTCGCCCTGCAATTTTTCAATCAAAACTCTGCATTGATGGTTGCCTTCTCTCGCTACTATTTCTGTTTACGGTGCTTAACCGCGATAATTTAAAAGCATAGATGAATTAGTAGCAAGAGAACCTTCCACAAACCACCACGCTTATGCAGGAAGGTCCCCTTCTTTACAGTTAAAATAAGTTATTTGTTGTAGCACTAACTGTTCACTAAGTTCATAACAATAGTGTAATGGTATTTAAACTTTTAAATTTTA